CATTCTCCCAGGAAGACCCGCTGTCAGTCTCCTGAGACATCCTTCCCCCTTAACCAGGAATCCACTTGAGAAAAAAAAGAACAGTACTGCGGTAAAGCTACTAGGTGAATTCAGAAAACGTAAAGCTTCTTCATGTTTATGAGAACACTATTAGAAAAGAACTGGAGAAAAACGGCCCATCCTTTTTGCAAACACTCAGCACCTGCTTCTGTTCAGGATTAACACTGAGCGACTCTGTGTTATTGTTTGGAACATTTAGAGGAAGTTTCAAAGTCCATATTTTTGCTATTTAGCACTCTTTCATGAACTGTTTTTACATTTCTGCACCATACTCAGAAGTACATTTTACTTAATGTTTAGTCAGTTATTTTAACCAGAAACTTTGATGCTAAGCAAGTAAGATTTCTTCCTTTCAATGACATTTATGCTAAGTTCCCATGTGGAGAACTGTAGCTTCTTTGGCAGTTAATTCTAGAGCTGGAAATTGGGTGGGGAGGGGCTATAGACACATATGGTGTTTACAGAGTTATAAAAAATAATAATAGGGTGGGGAGGCTCAAATTCTCTCTTTAGATAGAGGAGGCTTTGAGGGAAAGCCTTACTCATCGGAGACCCTACCCTATACTAATCACAGTAATTTGTAATGATTCCGAATTGAATTCAAGAGCTGTGAAAATACTATGAGTTTGAATTGCTGCACATAAAAATGAGAAGTAGAAAACTATTTATATTAGCCCAGTGAGAGCTCTACTCTATAATTCAACCTGAGATGAGAGCGAGAAGGGTTCTAAATATTGACCGGAAGTTGTACTCTTAAGTTGCAGAGGACAAAGGGCAATTATTCTCATATTGCCTAATACTGGCCAGGGCCAGGGGCTGACAGCTGGCATTGAACACTCAAGAGTCAGGATAGTACATCCCTTTCTCTGACTCTTCCCAAGTGAATGGATACACTTTGGGCCGGAATCCTCAGGGAAGAGCAACTTCATAGACACTTTCCAGCTATTGCTATATAGTTCCTACTGTTTCCTCATCTGCCCACAAGCCCAGCCTACTCAAATCTGTCCCTCACCAATGCCCCGTAAGCTGGTGGAGAACATGCCAGCCCACTACGTGGAAAAGACTGTCCCTTTTTCTCAGGACTGCGACACTGCATTATTTCAGGACTACGTTACACAGGCTGCACCCTGAGGTTGTGCAGTATAACTAGCCTCCTTTTCCTCCCCCACGCTATTTACTCTCCAGGCCTGGAAAGGGAGGGAAGGTGGGTGGAGGAGGAGATACCACGCTTACTTAGAGAAAGCACAAGCCTCTCTCTTTCTCCTCCATTTGTTTGTTACTGAGACTTGGAGTTACATTGTCAGTGAGGGAGGAAAGTTAAAGAATACTCATTCAGGCTCTAACAGTCACAGGTCCTACACTCCATCTGTAAATTCAGCATATTGACGGTAAGCCCAGGATTGCTTATAAGTAACGAATCGTGGTTCATGATAAAGTTACAGTCATGGTTACTGAGGCTGTAGATGAAAGAGAAGATGTCAGCCACATTGTTCCCCTTTCCCTGTAAACACACCGCTCTGGCTATGGGCTTGATATTGTTTCAACCTATTGCTACTACATGACCAATGAATATAAAGGGAGGCACAGAGCTTTTTTAAGAGACCCTCAGTAACAACAAAAATGAACCCAAGGCTGCTATAAACATTCGCATGCAAGAGAAGAACTGTCTAACTTCACAGGATATTTTTAGTAGAATGAAGACTTATGCCTTTTGAATACATTACATATAAGACAAATGGAACTGTATCAATCAGACATTGTAGGGAACTTATTGGAGTGGCCAGGCTAGTATACTTTCTAATTAGATGTCAATTAATTATAGGAAAAGAGCTGCTTCCAAAGTGTTTGACAAGTTTGTCCATGTCGATGTTCTCTAGCCTTTTCAATCACCTCCTTCACAAAGTCAAATTTGAACCCAAACTTAAGTCCATCTCATTGCTTATTGTAAAAGAATGGATTCGGAATTAATTATCAGAGATGCTATAGAGGAAGATGCAGACTCTCTTGCACTCAATGTCTAGAGGAGCCGACTCTCAGGCATCACTCAGAGGAAGACACAGGTCCAGCCCACGTGATCTGTAGCCTGTGGTGAATATTACATTATATATCAAGGGTCTCAAGTTCATAGACACAGAGCTGGTCATGTAGCAGGGACGACATCAGCAATTCCTGAGTTTCCTCCTTTTGGGGGATTCCATAGCAATAGTCACCATCTTGAATCCAGGCATGGGGCCAAGCTGGGAATGGAGAAAGTTTGCAGGCCCACACACACCTGGATGGAAGCCACGTGGGGCCTCTGGGCAGGTACTCGAGGAGCTGTCCTAACATCTGCCCCAGCAGCAGTGTCGCCTCCCAACGTAGCGCCCGTCTGCAATCTAGACATGGAGAAGGAAGAGAGTCCATTGACACACTTTGGTTTTCCCAAGGTGTGTCCCTATGAACAGCCCCCACACACTCAGGGGAAGCAGCATGGGAGATCAGCTGCCATTCTGAGTGGCCCAGGCATCCATTACCCACCCTGCTCTTCTCCTGGGACAAGACGGCATCACCCTCTATCCTGACGTGCAGGGTTTCATGACTTGCCTGCTGAGTGTCCACTGAGCCCAGGACAACCCCCACCCCCATCCCTTTGATGACGCTGCTCAACCCCAGCTGTTCTCCATGACTCCAACCCCAGCCTCCCTCTGTTCCTCTCATTTCTCAGAAATAAGGCTCACATACCACACTGCTAAGAAGGAGAGGAATGCAAGCACAATCACGACAGCCATGGAGGCCAGCCCAACGCCCACCATCTGCTGCAGCGTGAGTGACGAACCTGCGGGACAGAACCACACGCTAAACCCACGGCGCGCAGAACATGGCCCTCCTAGGAGGGGCACACCCTGGTAACCCAGAGCTTGGCCCCACTAAACAAACCAGCCCAAGAATGCACAGAGTACCTCTTGCCCCCGAGTTGGTCCTGAGGCTACAGGGCCTCAGGAAAACACAGTTCCATGGTATTTCTAAAAAGGAAGCACAAAACCAGGCCACATTCAAGGTCTAAGGGATGAAAAGGCTGATCTTGTAGGTCTGACAAAGGCAGCAACTGTGTTGTTTTTGTTGGTCCTCTCTCAAGTCAATTATACTTGATAGACTTTCATGGGCAGTTCTCCTTTGCCTGGAGGAAGACGTCACTCTGACACCATTTGGATTTTTGCTCCAAAAATGATAGTTAGCTCCAGCAGTCAAATATAGCAAACAAATCCTCTCTGTGGGATAGAGTCATCTGTCATGCTCCCTACACTTCAACAAGGGTGGTACCCCCAACTCTGCTCAGGTTGCCATGAGGATAAAATAAGAACATTGATGTAAAAGCTCTTTGAAAGACATACGTATGTTTGTTCTACTTCGGCAGCATCACATGCCAACCCCCGGGGATCCCTGGTTACAAACTGGGGGAACACCCACATTTATCTGGGCCAAGTGACTGAATCAGAGCATCATGTTCTAAATTAATGGTCTCATTTTAATTTGCAAGCACTTATTTAGCACTTACTATGTGCCAGACACTGTTCTAATGACCTCTCCTAACCAGCCGGTGGGTACTCTAATAAAGTACGAGGTATTAAAATAATAACAGTACACTGAGTACTATTATTACTATTCTCCTTTCACAGATGAGGAACTGAGGCTTGGAACGGCTAGGCAACTTGCCCAAGGTCACCAGCTAAATGACAGTGCCAGGGTTCAAACCCACACTGTCTGGCTCCAGAGTCTTTGCTTTTGACCTCAGTGCCATGCTTTCCCAGTGCAGATCTGAGTCCGTTCTGTCTGCAGCAGAGGGGGCCCCATGTCCCCCACCCCAGAAGTCAGGGGTGCAAGCCCAGGCCTGTCCAGCACAGGCTGATTGATGGTGATGGGGCCTGGGACTGTAGTAGTTCAAGTTCCTCTCTGGAAGAACGGAAGTCGATATGCAATGGTGCCGCCAGATAATGAAAAGATCTGGGGTGCTGACTCCGCATGTATAGAATTAAAAATAAAAATACCACCAAGCCATGGAATAAACGTAAGGAAGCCCAACCAAGTCCACATTTTGACAGATGATTTGCTGTGGTTGTCACTGTTGGAACATCAGGTGATTTCATTTTTCTGTACCCTCCTTTCACCAATGCCTCAGGTGTGTGCTTAGTCTGCCCCTGGGGTACTCCAGCACTGCCTTGGAAGAGCTGAAAACAGCAGAAGCAAAGAGCTATTACTGTAACGGGGGAGCTGACATGAGGCCCTCAAAGCGTAGACAATTTATTTAAGGCAGGGAATGAGGCACGTCTGAGAACAGTTCAAGCCACGTAACTTTTTCGTCATCTAATCTGCACTGTGCAATACAGTAGCCACTACCTGCAAGATGGCTATTTAAATCAAAATTATTTAAAATTCAATTAAAATAAAATTCAGTTTCTCAATCACACTATTTCAAGTGCTCGATTTCAAGTACATGTTTCAAATGCTCAGTAGCCATGTGTGGCTAGTGGCTACTGTATTGGATAGCACAGCCTTAAAATCTTTCTGACACTGGCACTGCTCAGATCGCTACAACCAGGGTAAGGGCAGTTTGGTTCTATTGGAGGCTCTGCAGAGTCGCTGGCACCAGCAAAAGCAGCCATGGGACACACCTCTTGCTAACAAGCCCTGCAAAACCCATTACCTCAGAAAGAGTTGTCAAGAGATTTTCTAGAAAAACACAGCTTACATGGTTTGGCTACTTTTAGTATTCAGAAGAAAAAGGCCTTGACATTTTAAGGAGCCCTATTATACAATGGAAGGAGGAGCTGTGGTTAAAATAGAAATTAGTAAAGAAAAACAAATTAGGGAAATGACTTGAATTACTACGTATTAAAACAGTACAGTGTCAGCATAGGAATGAATACACTGGAACAAAGTAGAAAGCATAGAAACAAACCCAAGTATATCAAATAATTTCAAAGCATAAATACTGGAGTCAGGTTGTCCGGGTCTGTGTCTGATCACCACCACTCCCTAACGGTGAACTTTGGACAAGTTATTCAGCCATTCTATACCTCAGTCTCCCACAGAGGGATGACATAACACGGAGAGGATAACAGTAGTATCTACTTTTTGAGTTATTGTGAGAAATAAATCAGTTAATACATGTTAGAACAGTGTGTGGCACAGAGTAAGCAATAAGCAAATGTCAGCTATTGTTAATTATTGTTGTTTTGTTACTGTTCCACATCATTGGGGAAATGATGCATTATTCATAACTAGTGTTGAGAAAATTGGCTAAACATTTAGAATAAAGCAATTCTGATCATCAGCGCTTATACTGTATACCAAAATAAAACCCAGATGGCCTTAAAGACCTAAATTGAAAACTAAAAGAATTAGAACAAAATGTAAGTGAATATATAGCTAATATTAAAGCAGGTAAGAACTTTTTTCTAAGCACATTTATTTATGCAGAAACCTTAAAATACGAGAATGAGCGATGTGACTGTATTAAAAAGCACACACTTCTGTCTGCCAAAAGTACCATAAGCAAGCTTAAAAGGACAAATGGAAAACTCGGTAGAATATTTAGAATAATTAACAAGCAATGGGGTTAACATACAGTGAGTGTTACAGATCAATAAGGAAAAGACAAATACCTCAATAGCAAAAAAATATATTCTATGAAAAGGTAAATCACATATGAAACATGAATACAGATGATTGATAAGCCTTTGATCAATTGCTCTCTTACAAGTAATAAAAATGCAAATTAAAACAATGAGATGCCATTTCTGTGTACTAAGTTCACTAGGTTTTGTTTCGTTTTGTTTTGTTTGGAAGAGAGAATACAGCATTGGAGATGGTGGAGAGATGCTGGTAGTTTCCTGCACTGATTATTTCATCCAATCCACCCAGCATTCCTTCCAACTCTAGTCACCCATCTTTTCTCCATATTTTTTCCTCTGTAGTTTCATCCTCTACATATTTTAATTATTGATTGGTGAAAACATTGAGCTGAAGATGACTAGATAGTGACCCCATGTCCTAAATATTCCTGGATTTGACATCAGCTCATTAATAAGCAAACTTTGCATAGTCATTCCACCAGTTGCTAAGCTCACACACAGCCCTCCTTTGCCCACATTATCTACAGGGCATTGGGAAGTGTTGGTTGAAGTCAAAATACATTATGCCCGCCATATTTCCCTGACCAATTAGTGACTCTGTGTGAGAAGAAAGGAAAGCGATCTGACCTAACCTGCTCACAGCTTCCATGCTGACTGCTGAGAACTGCTGCTTCTCCTCTAAGTAGACACAGAACCCTCTCTTGAAGATCTTGCCTTCCTTGACTTCAGGTTGTCCTCATCTATGCTTTGCAAAATCTATCTCCCTTGCACGAAGTTCCATGTTCTTTGCTCACCCCCAGTCTTCTTATTTTTCTCTTCTTCATCAAGATTTCTCAAGATCACTGGCAGTGGTTTATCCATCTCATTTGCAGATTGTATTTTGAAGCTGCTGGAATGTGCTTCATCCAGGTCAGAAGACTGTGACTTAGGTAGAGCAGCTAGTTCTTCCCTTGCTTTCACATATCCCCTCACAAACTAACAGAACAGAAGTAAAGGAGGAGTTGGGGAACGTGCCTTTCTCTTGACCATCCACCAGCAGGGCATCCTTCACCCTAAGCAGTGAGCCCAACTCTTCCTGACTCTCTATACGTAACTATTGGAAAATCACCTTTATTAAGTATACACACATGTACACATTAGGCTTATATCTTGATGTAGATCTTCTCTGGCTTATTTAATTTGATAAGTATTGCACCAGCTATGCTTTGCTTTTCATCAAAGTGTACTTCTGATTCCATGGTAATCATTCACCTCAATTCCATAAATTCTGATTAAGCACTTAATGCGTGCCAGGCACTGCTCCAGCTCTTCAAATGCTCTCCCTTAAGGGTATGAAATCCAGTAAGAAGAGATAGTTGTGCCAGTTGCTCTAAAGTATGACAGAATGGCTAAGGAGGGGAGGGGCAGGGAGGAGGAGAGAGATGGAGAGATGGAGAGACAGAGAGACAGAGAGAGAGCCTGTCCTATTGAGGAAATAAAAAAAGCTTCAGGGAGGAGGTGGCATTTAATTTTAATCTTGAAGAACAGATGGGATTGCAATAAGCAGATATTACTGGAGGTTATAGGGCAATCCAGGTGGAAGCATGTATTCAGATAAGCAAAGACACTGAGGAGAGAAGGCAAGGGTCATATCCAGCAAAGAGCTGGCACGTGGAAGAATGAGAGATGCAATTAGAAGGCTGTGTTGGTGTCAAACTGAGGCCTTAGAAACCAGGCTAAAAAGTAATGGAGAATTGTGGGAGAACTGTCAGGGGAAATAATAAAATCAGTGCTGCAGGTTTAGAAATATAAGTGAGTCAGCTGGTGACGTGCAGGATGGAGTGAAGACGGAAATCCTGCACACTTGTGATGAGATAGAAGTCTCTGCCAGTCATGCATGCTACCCATATAAATGCCTACGCTCAGGTAGTAAACACACAAATGAAAATCAGAAAGAAAAGCCCAAGGTACAAAATGTGGGCTGAAGAAGAAAGTGTAGTCACTAATGACTCAGAGCTTTTTGCCTATGACTGAAGAATGTTCCCTGATTATAAACTTATCATCTCATATATATCAAATGACCTTGCTTGGTGACTCAAGAAATCACAGACTCATAGTACTTTGTGGCTGGAAGCGATCTCAGAGATCTCGGAAAGAAGCCATTGAGAATCAGCCAAGTTAAATATAATTTCAAAGACAAGCCATCAGGCTGATTAGTAGCAGGACTTGGGCAAGGGAGCCCAGGCCTCTGCAATTCCCATCAAACGACTGCGGGTTCCCTTGTAACTATCACAAAGCTCTTTTAGGGACAGCTTGCAAAAAGTAAACAGCATAATTCATGACTGGGCAAGGGCAGAAATGAGCTATTGCCGGACATGAGTGAACTGGAACAATGTCTCCTTTTTGCAAAAGGAGGCTGCAAGAGGTTAATGCACAACACAGGTAAATTATGTACACAGATAAATATACGAGTATGCTAGAATTACCTCCAGAATTTCAACATAACCATTGGTTTTCTATTCAGAGCTTTCCAGTAGTTTGGATTCAAAGGTTCAAACTCTCTTTCAATGTTGGTTCTTCATTTGAGAGGGGGGAAAAAGGCACTGCCAAAAGCCACTTAGATATTTCCAAAGCAAAATGCTTCCTGTTTAACTTAATCATAGTAGAATGCAGCCAGGTCTCTGGCCATATCTTCTATCCAGTTTGAGTGTTTGCCAGCCAAACAGTTGCTGAAAACAGTGGATTCTGGAAGCAATTGTTTCTGTGCCTGTCTGGTATATTTGCACATCTCCATTTTTCTGAAAAAAGCACCTCTTTTCCTTGTGGGAACCCCAACCCGAATGTTGGAATGCATGGTTGTTTCTCGTGGGTTTCATTAAACTTCAATAAAGGGAGCTTAGGCTATGGGCACACAGAAACGTAACAACACACATCTTTGTTAAAAGAAGCCCTCACTTATGCTAAGTGAAACAGAGACAGAAAAATACTATACGATCTCACTTATATATGGAATATAAAAAAGCTGAATTCATTGAAATAGAGACTAGAATGGTAGTTGCCATGGGCTGGGGGGTAGGGGAAATGGAGAGATATTGATCTAAGGGTACAAACTTCCAGTTACAAGAGGAGTAAGTTCTGGGGAATCTAATGCACAACGTGGTGACTATACTAACAACACTGTATTATAAACAAGAAAGTTGCTAGGAGAGTAGATCTTAAATGTTTTATATCTATCTATCTATCTATCTATCTATCTATCTATCTATCTATCTATATATCTCCCCATATATAGAGTGCCAAAAAATGTATACACATTTTAAGAAAGGAAAACTGTATTAAAATTGTACTACTCAATATATACTGATAACAAAAGATGAATACAAGTCATGTTTGACTTCTGCAATTACAAGAGGTGCTCAAAGTGGCGACCATCAGCATCCAGATACTTCTTAATTACAGCAAACTACTTCTTGAGCAATGTTGACTAAAGTGTCCACTTGTATACATTTTTTTGGCACCCCAGTATTTGGTAATTATGTGAGATGATGGAGGTGTTAACTAACCTTGTGTTAATCATTTCGCAATGTATCAAATCATCACGTTGTACATCTTAAACTTATACAACGTTATGCCGGTTATGTATCAATAAAGCTGGAGATGAGACAGACAGAGAGACACACACACAGACAGAGAGAGAGAGAGAGAGAGAGAGAGAGAGAGAGAGAGAGAGAGAGGAGGCCCTCACTGCCTGGCAATCTGTAATCCAAGATGGCTGACAGTCAGGTACTATGTCTTACCTGATTGAAAAGCCAAGTCCTCTACCCTTACTAAAGTTGGTGTGAGTAGAGATAAAAATATGAGAGGTAAGGTTAGGGGATAAGCAGATGAATGAAGGAAGCCTAATTCCCCACTGGCATTCTCCTGGAAGCGGGGTTTTATCAGCTTTCCTCACCACCCCAGCCTGTTGTTTCATGCTGCTACGAAGTAAGGGACAGGATGTGTAAGGGGTTAAACTGATACTGTGGGCTAAAGGCAGAATTCCTCCTGCTGTTGCTAGGACTCATAAACCACAAGGGAAAGGTCATAAACTAGCTACAAACTCATGGAATTTCTGGGAATCAAATCCACTGGCTGCCTGCCTGATGGTTTAAGGCAATGTACTGCCAGGGAAATCCCAGCCTGGCAAATAAGGACCTGTCATTGCTCAATCCCTACGGCGACTCTCTCCAACCCCCCACCCCCACCCCTGCCTGGATAACTGCGTATGGGAAGCAGAAGGTTTAAACTGTACAGAACTCAGCAGAGCTCCTCCCCATGGCATCTCTTAGGTACAGCTTTGAGGAAATGAATTAGGGTACTTCTCCCATCAGGCGACCCAGGAAAAGGCTGAGGCAGCCCAAGTGCTGATCACGGGATGCCTTCTGCTGCCGAGGATGGGGATACTTCCTTTTCCCATCTAGCAGAATGTGGTCATTGTTGCGGGCCCCCTGACCACTGCACAGTACTTTATCTTTTCCTGCCTTCTAAATGAAAGTATGTGTTGTTTTTCCTTTCCTATTATATACTGTGGTTTGAGAATGGTTGATTTGGCCATTTAGTCATGCATTGCTAAACAGACCATAAGCAGCACATCTGGATTTGATCAAGAGGAATGGACCGTGCCCAGGAATCTTGGTGTTGGAGCTGGATGCAGTAACAGATCCACCTGTGAGTTACCTTCCACTAAGGTTCCACTTTTCATTGCGTGGCGGATAGATGACTTCACTTTTTTAAAGGAGGGTGTCTTTCTTAATAGCAAACAAGTATGTGTATGTGTGTGCACATATTAAGTAGTCAAATGGTTGAAAGCAGTGGACTGTTGAGGTTCTTTGTTTTGGTCTGCCAACATGTTTTTCTGTGCCTCTTTTCCTCATAGGGATCATGTCCCCCTCTCAACCCCGGTAGGGTTTTCACCACAGTGATATGCCCCCATCCAGCCATACAGCTAAGCCCCAAATCCAAGGTAGGCTGATTATAGTACACCCTCTCCTATTAATAGTGATTCATGCACCACATAGTCACATAGCCTAGGAGAAAAGACTTCCCCTGCACTGAAAAACTTAGCCACTGAGGTTGCTAAGCTGGAGCAGCTGGGGCCCAACCCTCTCCACCACACAGCTTCTGGTTAAAGAAAAGGAGGCCAATTCACACTTAGAAACAGTGCAGAGGCAAGAGACAGAGAGAAAGGGAGAGTCCCACTCATGGGGTGCTTCTCTTGTTCACATTCCATAGCTCCCACACCCCACCCTTTCCTGCTGTTGCTTTTTACTTCAACTATTGTAATATGAGATGGGTTCCTGTCACCTGTGACAATGTCAAAACAAATCTCATTAACATACACTTGATGCTGCAGATTGGACATAGACATAAGGACAGCATTCTTAGGCAGAAAATGGTTTTACCTTTCACCTGAGCCCAAACTGAACAGGAGCATCTTCTGACCTATAAAGGAAAACACAGCAACACATTTAATTAGGCAGCACCTGATGTCAGTTTAAATAGTGCAGTTTAGCCCTCCAAGTTTCAGGGTCTTATCTCTTAGTTTGGACAACAAGATCTTTGAAGTCTCATCTAGCTCTAACATATTACAACTTAGCCCTATGATTACCAAGTGTTCAAGGGACTGCCTTGGGTAGCAGGGACATAAGGGATCCCAGGAATCACTTCCACAGCTTTCCACAGATCTCAGAAAGCACACACTGTGGGCAAACCACAGGAATGACAGTAAGTTTCACTCCCCTTGCCAGCTCTGAGCAACTGGCATTGACTGCCTGCAGGATGATTTTGAAAAAGGTTCTGAGGTCACAACCAGGTTCAACAGGAAGTCATGATGCACGTGCTAGGCAAGGCTTTGAGAAATCCTGGTATACAATAATACTTCTCCTATCCAGATGATACTTATCTAGCAACATCAGTTACCCAAAATGTACCCAAGAACCAGGAAGAAAGCAAAAAGAACACATTATGAAAGCTCATCCATGGTAGAAGAGGTGCACGAACTCACTGGAATGAAATACCTTCTCTTCTTCTCCCCCACTATTATTTTATGCATATTTGTCTGTTAAGAATGCTAGTATTACTGTCTATTATAAAACTCAGCAAAATATTCCCCAGAGGAAACTGAATAGTAGGGCTTAGAGAAAGATCCCTTCAACTTCAATGGAGATTCTCTTTCAAGTGATAGCCTTGGTCATTCTGATTTTCATTTTATTAAAAATTAAAAAAAAGAAACATTTACAGTGAAAAACTCAGGGAAAAGCTTAAAATGGGCATAAGGTTTTGAATATGACTAAATTTTGCCTAATGCTAAGGCATCAAGTCCATGTAATGAAAGATAATATGCAAGACTAACCAGTGAAGGATGTATTTCAAGACATTGGAGAAGAAAAAAAAAGACCTCAAATAGCAAGGCAGTTACTAAGGAAGTGAGTGTACTAAAGGAGAGAAATTGGCAGGGCCAGGTGAAGAAGGGAGCTCATTGAAATGAAATGCCTTGGGCCGGCGGAGTGGCGCG